ACCTGCAGATAGGTCCAGTCTCACATTCTAGGTGGCTCACAACGGCTCTCAGGTTCTGCAGAATTTGGGTCGCTCATCATAAACTGAAAGGGAACCAACTTCACAACCTGAGACTTATTGTCCAATTCATCGTGAGTGTCTACTTGCCAAATTGGTTCAACACCAAGGTCAAGTCATCGTTCTCCGAAGGTCCGGGGCATGTTCTCTTCCAGCATGAGCTCCTGAGGAGTCAGCCAAGGAAGGTTGTTCAGATTGTGGAGCAGACTGTGAGGAGATCTTCCTGGTATGCTCATCCCGAGGCAGTTCTGCAGACAATGCTCTGCAGTAAGGATGAGGAGGAGAGAAGAGTGGCAGTCAAAAAGATCTTGGATATGAGACTTATGAGAGGATCTGGGCATGACGAATCAGTTGGTGACGATTCCTTCAGGGTCAGGAAGACTCCTGAAGTCAATCTAGGTGCCACGACCCTCACTGATCTCATAGATCTGGATAACATCCAGGCTGGCAGTGAGCCCCCTCTTACCTGCAGCCTCACCAATGTTCAAGTTAGAGCTTTCCTGGACAACCCCATGCATGTCCCTGCCTGGCCCTCGCACACCCAGAGTATAGAGCGTTGTGTACAGCAAGTGAGCGAGGCCAGCAGTCACGTGTACAGCCAGGAGAGGAGGGAAGGCTACATCCGAGCTCAGGTGGTCAGCAGGGAGGTGATGAGTAGAAACAGAAGCAAGAAAGACATGTTCTCTATGGTGTGCAGCAACACCGGGTCGTAGTAGTAAAACCGGTTTTTGTATTTGATGATTTTGTTTTCTAAAGGAATATTAAATTTAATAAATGTGTCAAGATCATTCGTTTCACTATTCTGGATCATTTTTCATCTAATAAATTAACCTGATACATTTACTTTACTTTAAATAAGCTATTTAGTGAATTGTTGGTAAAGGGTGGGAATACTGAATTTTCATAAGATTTCAAGTTAAAATTTACCTAGCAAAAAATGAAAACTTTTCAAATCTGAAGATATCACATGATTCTGCACATAGAACTACATCATTAATACCATGGGCCGATTTTTCAAACTCAAAAAAAAAAATTCCCCTCCGTATGACACACCCTAATGGTGCGTACTTGTGTGGGTAGCTTTTGTGCGTGAAGCTGGCGCAGGATAGAGTCAGGAAGTCTGCCTGTCTGCCGGTGTTCAACCTGCACATCTCCTCCCAGAGAAGTCCCGGAGTTGAGTTTCCAAGGGAGATAGAAGATAGGTTCTGCAGGAGACTGGGGCGGGTCCGTTGGTAATGCGTTTTTAAGGCATCCCGCAGGGTGGCGAATTTGTTGTTCGCTGGAGGGTTGGAGATGGTCTGTGAGACTTGTGTGGCGACTTCAGTGGGCAAGGAACAGAGCAGGGCGCCGTACTTTTGCTCATCTGTAGCCGTAGAGCTGATGAGGGTTGCTTCCACATGAACTAACCAGTCCTCTACGTTGTGGTTGAAGGTCGGTAGAGAGATCCGTCCGTCCATTCTTGCGGGAGTGTGTCACACCTGTTAGGGAAGGATGAGGGATGGGTGCTTGTTCCGACCCCCTTCCGTGTTCACAATCTCCTGGGAGGGAGGTGAACAGTTGCAGGGGGGACTTCGGGACGAATGCAGTTTTTAGGGTGCAGGTCCTTAGGCCAGAACTAAAAAAAACAAAAGAAAAATAGGAGAATAGGCCAAAGAGCTCAAACCACGTTTGGAATATCGCACAATAGTTGCTCTCCAGCTGTGAAGTGGGTCACTCACACCGCCAGTGGGGAGAACAGACTAATGCGTTATAAACCTTACGGTCGTGAGATGGTGTCGTTGTGGAGTAGTGGGGTAGCGAGTGATGCAGGTAAGGCGGTTGGCCTAGGCTGGCAGCAGGCAGGACGATCTTCTCAGCTCCGGGAGTAAGGCAGCAGAAAGGAGTGTGGTATTCACGGAGCCAGGGGTCACCAATTGTAGCGTACTGTATGTGGGCAGTTGTCAATTCTCTTTAGTTGTCTATTTTCTCTTTGTATGGGCACACAAATGTACGTACATGTAGATATCTCACACTCAGGAATGAGGTAGAATAGAAACTCACAATGTGCTTTCTGTATATATATTGTTGTACAGTGCAGTGCTTAGGAGTGACTAGGTGAGGAGTAGCTTGCTCAGAGGTCCTGTAGGGCGAGGAGGTTTCTGAGGAAGCTGGGTGGTGAGGAGCTGTTGAGAGATGTTGCTGGTCCGGTAGCCGAGTGTAGAATGAGTTCCCCGGTCAGCCGGGGCCGTATTTATGTTATTTAGGAAACTCAGGATATGAGGTGCTCGTAGCGCGAGGGCCAATCACAGGAGCGGGAGCTTAAGGTGTGAAACGCTCTGTTCCTGAGCTGGAAGTTGAAGGTTGAGACTAGGTCGGCGATCGTACCCCTATGTCCACTGCATAGACCTAGTCTCTCGGCGTAGCTGGCTGTACGCTGATTGGCTGGTAGGCGCGCGGCCGGCGCTCAGTTGGGAGTTATAGGGGAGAGGATCCACTACAGGGTCACTGCCTTATGACCGGACCATTGTGGACACCTACGGTCCCCTAGGGACTTGATCTCACTCTCCTCTACTGTATATATTAGCCTTGTCAAGTATTTCTCCTTAGTCTGTACTCACTCCTGAAGATATGAATTACCCTGTACATGAAAGTGCTTGGGAACTTCGTGTTTTCTTGTTTCCTTGTGGTTATCAGCTCCCCCCACAAGGGGTCACAGCTCAAGATTGAAGAAGCCGCAAGTCCAGAAAACTGTGAAGGCAAACTTTTTCGGAGTGAGGGTTGTAAACTCTTGGAACAATCTACCAGAGTGTTGTGACGGCACCGAGTGTGAGCTCTTTCAAGACCAGACTTGACCAACACTGGAGCGGGTTCAGGTACATTCAGGAGCCGGTGCATGCCCAGTATTTGCCAACAGTGCGTGACAGAGATGTGACTGATTTCCCGGGTGGCTAGCGAGCCAATTTTTTGGTGAAAAAGATAAATGAAAAGGAAAAGTAATCAGAGACGTGACCGATCACCCAAAGGGCTAACAAGCCGATCAGTGGCAAAGAGAATAAAAGTAGAAGTAAAATATACTTGGATCATGCACACCTACAATGATTTACTTGCATATACCTTTATATATATATATATATATATATATATATATATATATATATATATATATATATATATATATATATATATATATATATATATATATATATATATATATATATATATATATATATATATATATATATATATATATATATATATATGTATATATATATACATGTATGCATGTATGTATGTATGCACGTGCGCATGCACGCACACACACACATATATACAGTGGTCCCTTGGTTAACAAACACAATTCGTTCCAGAAGGTCGTTCGTTAACCGAATCCATTGTTTCAATGGGATTTTGGGTAATTGGTTCCAGCTCACCGAAAAGTACATAGAAAGTAGAAAAAAAATGCAGTAAAGTACACTTACTTTGAGGTGTGTATGTAGAAGGCTCCTGGTTGATGATGCTGATGTGAATTTGAAGTGGGAGGTGGAGATGGAGGAGGAGAAGAGAGAAGAGAAGGAAGTTGGGGTGGAGGAGAAGCATTTTACTGCTTCTTGGAAGGCGAGTCACCTTCCATAATTATGTCAGGAACCTCTGGACTAGCAGATTCTCCAACAGGAAACTCCTCTCTCCTTTATGAAGTGGAAGGCTGAGTGGTAGCATCTTTCTCCCGCTGCCTTTTAAAGAAGAAACTGTCAATTTTTGGTTGTGGGGCATTTCTCCTCCTGATCATTAACTGGTTTTTGAAGGAGAGCACTTTGTCCTCAACAGTACACAAAATAGGTTCTGTTGTTTCAACATCAGGGTGCCTTGAAGCCAGTTTCCTGAACATCTTCCAGTTGTGAACAACATCTTTTAAATCTGAAGAAGACATATGGTCATCACTTTCCCTTTCCTCCTCACCACGGTCTGTTTCTAGCATCTCATCCAGTTGCTTCAAATCTTCAGGAATAAGTTCCTGCTCGTGAGACATCACATGCTCTTCAACATCATCCTCCACTTCGAGTCCCATTTACTGACCAATGGACACAATCTCCTTGTCCAACTCCGTTTCTTCCTCAAATCCCTCAAAATCATGGGCTGCTGTTGGCCACAGTGCTTTCCATGCAGAATTCAGGGATCGAATGGAGACTTTTTGCCATGATGACACAATCAATTTTACATCCTCCAGGATGTTATATTGCGTCTTCCAGAACTGTGCCAGTGTTAGATCAGGATCAGTGGAACTTGTCTGATGACACCTTCTGAACATTTTCTTCATGTACAGCTTCTTGAAGTTGCTGATTACATTCTGGTCCATTGGCTGTATGATTGAAGTAGTGTTGGGAGGCAAAAACAACACTTTGACAAAGTCAAATGTAGCCTCCAAAGTGCTGGCAAGTTCAAGGTCATGACCAGGGGCATTATCCAGAAGGAGAAGAGCCTTTAAAGGAAGTTTATTGGTGGTTAAGTAACTCTTCACAGAAGAGCAAAACACCTCAACAGCCCATTCATTAAAGAATTGTCTTGTTACCCTTGCCTTACGGTTGGACTTCCAATAAACTCCAAGTTGTCCTCTTACCACCTTTTGTTGCTTGAACACCCTGGGGTTTTCAGAGTGGTAGACAAGCATAGGCTTCAGTCGGAAATCCCCTGAAACATTGGCACCAAGCAATAGTGAGACGGTCCTTCATGGGTTTATGCCCCAGTAAAGAAGCTTCATCTCTGGTGATGAATGTCCTTCTGGGCATTTTCTTCCAGAACAGCCCGGTTTCATCCACATTGAACACTTGCTGTGGAAGATAATTTTCTTCATCCATCAGTTCCTTATTCTAACCCTAAAGTATAGTTTGTGAAATTAAAAGTTCCAAAATACAGTTCAATAAAAAATGGAGCATTCCAACTGTTCAGGAAGGAATAAAACAAGTGGGCATCTTTGTTACAAAACAAGATCTATTCTTTCATTTCCTTCAATACATTAACAACAGGTTTGCAAGCTGCTAAAATATGATTAAAATTATGTACATACCAAATGAACAATTAAGAAGAAGAGGTAAATTTAGTGGAGGTTATGATTCCTAGGAATGAACAGATGGCGAAATGTTTCTTTCTATCATTACACTTGTAGATAAAAACTGATATTTACTGAATAAAACAAAATATTGGTAATAATGTAAAATATAACAAAAGATATACTAAAAACCATAATAGACATACTTTCCTCAGATAACAAAATATAAATATTACAACCTATTCTTTTGCTTGTGTTAAAAACTCATCTGACTAGACAATTCTGGTTCAACCTCATGGAATGCTTACAAAGCTGCAAAGATATATTACTGTTCTTTGGGAAGATTAAAACTGGAATAAAATATTTTTAAAAGTGATATTTGGCTTCAAACAATATTGTTTATGGTAAGAAAAATACTGTACAGCTAAGGAATATTCACTCACAACAAAAATTTGTACAGTATGCTTTACTAATACAACTTAGCAGGATGAGTGTGTCCTTGAAAATATACTGCTAGCACAAATGATATCTAAATTAAATACTAAATGGAACTGGCAAATCCATACTAATATTTCATAGAATTTTTCCAGCTGTAGAGATAATATCCCACCTTCTACATCATTAAATGAACATATCAATACAAACAGGATTCAGGTATCTGATATCCATTTAAAAAATATAAAACTGGCTGGCAAAACTTTTGCAAACAATCCATATGGTTGGAAATCCAATTTTTTACAGATAGTCCACATAATAGCAAAATCGTGTAATAAACATGGCAGTATAATACAATCAGAAAATATCATGTTGGTAAAAACAGTTGTTCAAAAAATTTTATCACAGGTTTTCTTTGGTAGGTCATCTACTTTTGTTGACTGCAAAACATGTTCTCTTGCAATCTATCTTGTGGTTATCCCAACTATTGATTAAAATAAATGCCACCAGTGATTCTGAGTACAAAGTAAATAATTGCTACAGCCTAAAATATCTCAACAAAATAGTTTGAAATCGACACAAAATCCGATTTCTAGAGGTGTATATTGTCTAATCAAAAGACTATTGAGACATCACAATTAGTGGCCTCACCATTCATATTTCATGAGCAATATTCAACAAGAAATAGCCTTTTTAAATTTACATAATCATTTTATTGTCTATTATGCCAATTTAGTAGATCTTTTGCTTACTATTAAATGTAGAGAGTTCAAGAAAAACAGTAATTAATCACTGAAAAACACTATTTCAACCTCACAATTTGGAATAATTTTATCCACAAGTTTTATTCAGCATTCACTGACAATACAGTATATGAAATCATTCCACATACATAAAACATTTCACGATTGTGAAATAAAGTGCTAAAGATAATTTCACTTTTGTTAAGTATTCTAAAAGAAAAAAATACTGAAGAATTATACCATTATCATAGGTATTGTTTTCATGTTGACATTATACAAAACTAAGATTTCATTTGATATACATTTTCCCCAAATATATCTTTATTGATGGTAAGTATCAAAACTGAATGGCATACTGTATATAAACCCCAAAACTCTAAAGGTTTCAAAATTTGTGTTGTTCTTTTTTGTTTTTTGTTAAAAACAAAACTAAGCATTTTCCTAAGAAACAACTCATTAACTAGGCCATACCAAGGCATCACATGTCATCCTACTGTCTATGACTTTGAAGCACATGTTGAAGTCAAAAATTAATAGGATTCAGAAGCACGTGACTCCACAGTCAAAATAGCGCAGCTTGCAAACTTGCTGATGTCGCTCCTTATTATCCTTGTCCATACAATCGTCTCTCCATTATCTGCCTATATTCTGCTACTTCACATAAATCTTCTTATTCACCTTTGTATGGAATTACTAAAAAGACTCCAATCTGTATCCACTTCCACAATCTGTAGACGAAATTGTACATTCTTGATTAATTTGCCGAGTCTAACACCTTCTTGAAGCACAGATTGTCCTTTCCACTTTTCTCAATAAATCTTTTAATTTCCAAAAATAGTGATTCATGGCTCACATTTATGTTGAAGACTGGAATTATCCCAACACAACCATATAAACGTTTATAACTTTCAGATTTCATCACTGGCCAAACACCATTACTGTTTAGTTTAGACAAACCAGTGATTTTCATCCTGCCAAGTCCACATGTACTTCAATCCACAACTCACACCAGCAAAAACATTTGTTCCCTTAATTCCCACTGGAGAGTGATGGGCTCACTGATACACTCCCAATAAATTCCCTACAGGTAAGGGTTCTTAGGTAAGTAGAAATCGTTTTTCATTCAAAATATTATACCTATCAGGAGCTCCTTGCCCCAATAGCCACACCTCAGTTACAAAAGAATACATACATTATTTTACAATGATGAATGCAGCAATATATTAAGTATCCAGTACACAATCAACCAGATTTATGATTATTCCGGACATCAGATCTTTATGAAGATGCGTGACCTACATTAATTTTATGAACTGTTGATTTTATCACCAGCAATTGTACACATTAACACACCCATGTCTGATGTTCCTAATAATGACAATTCTGGAGGAGTTGCATAACCTGGGATGTGCATTACCCTTTAATAATGCTGCAGACAATAAAGGTTCCAATTACTTTAAATATTTTTACTTCGGTTGTACTCAAAAGGGCATCTAAACCCTACCATATTAAAATTTTATGAAAATGAAAGATGCATGGAGATTTTTTCTGAAAAATTGCCCATTTTCACCAATGTTTTTGAGATATAACAAGACAATCATAATCAACTACAAGTTTTTCAGTGTCATAAACATCTTTAAAATTAGTGCACATTCGATGTTGGTGGGACTATATTGACTTGTCAGCTTCCCAAAGATCATATAAAAAGTTAAGTTACATAGGTGCTCGATTCAAACTGACAGTAATACACAATTTTCAGAAGATGAAATTTTGCAAGAGATTACAACGAACTGGTTAACTTCAAATGACAATGTAAAGGCCAAGGATATTACACAATTAGAAATCAGTTCTACTGATACAGATTTTTCCAGTTTACTGATAAATTTGAAATATATCAGTAACAACTTTAAATAAATTAATTAACAACTATTGTAAATAACTTTCTGGTGTAAGCATGAAATAATCACTTTGGTGATTAAACAACAAGTAAGAGAAACTGTGCCACAGGCATCAATTCCTTCTCTTATTTCCATCACAGAAAGGAATATTGGGCAGTGTTTACTTCCATTTAATCAAGAAATCCAGTTTTCTTGTTTGTGTTCAGTTCTCATAAGTATACCAAAATGTTTGAATGACTGAACATTACACATGACAAAAATGCTTGATACTAACAGCATACAATAAAATTCCTTATAAAATCTACCTAATACTAATGCTTCAATCCCAAAACAATAGTCTATTCTCCTAAACACCTGAGTGGTTTCATTCATTATAATGATTATTGGCCTTAAACATCTAGCAGCCCAAATCCGGATTGAGAGCTTTTAAAATCTCTCTATTATGTGAAGAATAACACCACACAAGTACTTGGTATATTGTATACTGCTTGAGGATCAAGGCATGAAACACTTGCCAAACATTTACGAAGAAGCTGAACCCTGCCCTTCCAGTCACTTCAAGCTTGGATTTTACATCTAAACTGGACGTAAATGACAGCAATGGACGACCGGGCCCTAACTCTGAAGACAAACTTGAGTTCAAATGGACGTAAGTGGAATTTCACTCTTAATGACCCAAAATAAAAAATAAATAAATAAAATAAATCAATAAGTAACAGTTTTCATGAGCTAATTTTTCTCAAGCATGAATTTTGAACTAGGGCTGAGGGGGGGGTTTAGAAATACGTGAAAAGAGTGGCAGTTGTTAAGTGGTGGTGTGATGGACGTTGATACGAGATGCAAGTTGCAGTTCAGAAACTTACTTATTCAAGAATGTTTCATGAGAAAACTGATAATTAGCAATCCCTTAACATACATTGATAAGTACTTAGAACTTCCCCAAGGAAAAACAAAATAAAATAAAATAAATACAAAAAAGCCTAAATAAGCAAATTGATACATACATTAATAGCAGAAAAAATGCAACTTTGGAGAATTTACTTATACTTAATGTACAGTACTCATAAATCTAATATTATATTAAAATTTTTTCCCAAATATGTTTGAAATACATTTTGAAATTATTCAGTGGTATTGCTGCATGCATGTGCTGAAACTGGAAGTGTGTTATATGCTAGTAACAAAGGTAAAACTTGTATATCTTAATGATAAATTTGCAGCCTAAAATACTTTATAGAAACATAAATTGGAATTTTTAAAGTAATGTTGGCAAACTCATCCCAAGCATTAAGATATATAAAAGTTACAATATTCCTGCAAATCCACATCACTATTTTTATTCCTTGATTGCTGATATTACACAAAATTGGACTATAAAAATCCTAGACAAAAATTTTCCAGGAAAATACAGTACATACTAAGACAATTTTAAAATTTCCATAACAAAATACTTTTGCATTACCTAACACAAGATACTTTCCATAAAGTAAATATTCAACAGAGAAACATTAACATACATTATTTCCATATTTCCAAAAATATTAATGCAATAAAGATTCAACTTCAACACAAATATATGAACAAATTTAGCAGAAACTGAATTAATGACATTCCTCCTCATTGCAGACCTACACTCGAACACCAAATTTGTATTGGACGATTTATCCCTGACTGAACTCCCCATAACTTTCATGTAGTTGTACCAATGTGATTTTAAGTGACCTCTGTCTTCAGTAATACCAGTACCAATTCCTAATGTCCTGATTGGAGGTCTTGCATGAAGGTCTGTACATCTCTGACAGTATGAATTCCTGACGAGTTTTACTCTTAGCTATACCTAATTACTAGAACATCTTTCATCAAGATGATAAAGTTACAAGAAGGATTTGCATTATATTTTACCAAAGCACACTTTCAATTTGAGTCATTCAAGCACTGGATTAAAAATGATGAACTTTTCCACTTCCCCCTGGTACATAAAAACATAAACTGTACTGTTTAATCATTAGCTATTTTTTCTGACAATATCTGAAATTTGGCTGGACATTTAATTTCTAAACATATTACGGAGAAAACTTGTTATATGCATTTTCACGAATTGTGGTTCTAAACCCATTGTTCACTGTTTACTCACCAGGAGCAGAGTGAGAGTGTGAGCATATAACAAATCTAAAACATATATGGAAATGAAAATAAAAATGGTGTAATAAGATGGCACCTCCAGAACATGAATCTCAGCTGAGGAGCCATATTATTCATAAACATATAGTAATCTGTCAAAATTATTATTTTTACCCTTCACTCATTCAGCTGGTTGTGTCATTAGGATTTAAGCATGTCTGCAAAGTTTTCTGCATGACATGTAAAGTCTGTACACATGGCAGGTGTGCTGGGATCTTCCAATGCACTATGAATTGGATGTTGAGTCTGACGTGTGACCATTGTCCGTGTATGAAGCTGTTGAATTGCCGTTCACCACAAATGAAGTCCCAAGACCATATAAGTGACCACAGTATTTTGCATCGTCAATCTTGTCTTCAAAGAACATCTTGGGAAAAAAATTAGAAACTAATTTAATTATTAAAGTCTGACAAATTCATGACTGACTGTAATACCTGTTAGAAATAATATTTTACACCTAAGAATAAAAAATTCTCCCCCAAAATACAAGCATCTCATTCTTATAATGTGAATCTGTTTGCAATTTTAACATGCACTATTTGTACAGATGATAAGGAGTAGGGACAATTAGCTGAAAAAAATTAAAAAATATATCAATCATGAAACCAAATTTCTTCTCTGAAATTATATAAGCAACCTGTGCAATACTTGTATATTAAATGTTACATGTCTAATCAGTACAATCAGTTGATATACAGTACACATAATAGTATAAGTTCCTTGAATTTGAATCATATGTTTAAAATCATGTACAACAGTGCCAGTCTTTAATTTTGATAAATTTTGATTGATAACAAATTTCTTGGTCCAATTTCTCAGGAAGGTAAGAAGGATCTGAAACCAATAGCCCTCAAGACTCTTTTAAGTTACCTAGTTTAGCAGGCAAAAGTAACTACTGTAATTCCCATTGATCAGGAAATTCATCACCAACCAAAGTCAGAACAGATGGTCGAACATTATAAAGTTAGATGACTGGATGACACTACACCAACTAATTTAACTGCAGGCAGGTTAATATACTGTACATGTCAAAAGTACTGTTTAAATCACATTTGTTCATTCACAGACAGATTTAGATTCTAGTTCCATCTTGAATGTATCAGACAAGGTAGCCATGGTGATTTTAAGTTTAAAGTGTCTATTCTTCTGGAAGATGAGAGTTTATAAACAAAAATGTAAGCAGGAAGCCTCTGTAAGTCTACAATTTATAATATCCCAACATATTAAGTAAAAAAAATCAGAAAAGAAAACATTCTGAAAGGCTCAAAAGTGAGCATAAGAGAAACCACACAACATTTATCAATAAGAACCACCTAGGAAGAAATGAAGAGTCCCTCAGTGTTTCAAAACACAAACAAAAGCCTTTGAATATAAAGGTCATACCGAAACTGTAGTACAGTAATGAACTATACAGTAGATATAATGTTTTCTTTGTACTGTATTGCATTTTAAGTTTGTAAACATTGAAAGGTTTTTATCAGTAAAAACTATGAACATGCAACATCTGTAATCCCAACTGCAGTACTGTATTGTTTAACTCAATGGCTATGATGGGCCAGTAACTGGCCATCAAAGAAAGTTGTGATGAGCCAGTTTCTGGCTCAATTTCATAGTCGCCGGGTTATGATGTACAGTGAACCCTTGAAGATCCATACTAAAAGGGGGGGACCACCAGTCCAGAAAAGCCAATTGTCTAAATCTTCTGGCGAATGTGCAAAATGTATAAAAACGATAAATAATGATATAAAAAGAAAAGAAAAAAGATAGGTACCGTGTTTTATGACACATTAGATACCCCCCCCATTTTAACAGGGAGTATTTAGGAAGACACGTATGTATTTTCCTCCTGTAGCCACAGTTTTCCGAAAGTAATATATAAAGTACCAGAAAATATGAGGAATAAATAAAAATAAATAATATCAATAAATAAGCTACAACAAAAAATACTGGACTGCCAAATCATTAAATAAAAGCCAAATGAAAATTTGACACAATCGTCATTTGCATATACTCCCTGCTTCACCATAGTAACGAAAACCAGCTGGGACGTCGATTCCCTAGCAAAGCTCCCCCCCTTACACTCTGCCACTGTCCTCCCCTCCGTCACTGAGCCACCTAATTCGTGTGCAAAGAAATCCTTTACGTGTTTGCCCTTAGGACAATTATTTCTTTTACTTTTTTTACAAAATATGTATGTAACTGAGTAAAAATAAATGAAGAAAGTTACGTATATCTACCAGAAAATACGAGTTGAAAAACAATCATAACACCTCACAGCTTGGCCCAATAGCCTGCTGATTACAGTGATGAGTCTAACGTGGCTACAATGCCATGATTAATCACTGTTAAGTAATATTATATCAGTAAACACTAATAATAACGGTAAATCCAGTGAAATATAACAGGGAACAAGGAGAGTTTCAAGAGCAGACAACGCTCTAACTAGCGGTCACTCACTCCTGTTTCCAGGCGTACGAATGAAATACGTATGGGAGAAATAGATAACTTGTAGTCTAATTTGAAAACGATAACATAGCAGTGACAATGCAGGAAAAACATTCGTGTAGCGACCATCGTAAAACTGATCTTAGCCATCACATATAACGGTCAACACCTGCACTGGGAAAAGTTTTCCCAAATCTAAACTATGCGTCTCACTCAGACAGACACTATTGTACATCCCCAGAATGTTTCTGGGTGATGAGGTAAGTTTTCCGAGAGTCAAAGAGAGTCTAAACTGCGCATCTCATCTCGCATGGACAAACACTCCCACTACAATTAGGCCATACGCATCAACAAAAACTATATATGGCTAACAAAAAAGTGAATAAGCTTTTTGCATGCCATCTGTTCTAATTGTCTTAAAGAGATGAATTTGGTACCACAATGATCCCGAACAAATTCTCTACAAGACTCTTTCAATAAAAGATCCTTAAACAAAGTATTTCGACATGATATAATGATGGAGACTCGATTCTTTTATGAAAAAATCTAAGATTTAAACCGGAGTCCATAAATCAGTTCTAATTAAGTTAGAAACCACATTATCTTTTCTAAAATAATCTTGAATAGTTTATCTTACAGTTTGTTCAAATAAATATATACGTATAAAAAAACAAAAAATCTATATGATATGGACATGCGAAGCATGAATGGCACACTGGGTCACAGCCAAGACTGGAAATTTCCACCTTGTACTGGGGAAAGTTTTCCCGAGAATCTGAACAGCACTTCTCACACGGACAGACACAAGAGCTGTATTTATTTATGCAAGCACGACTGTAAACGTAAAATAGATTGCAAATAAAAAAACAATGTATTCTACTACATGTACTGTACTGTATACTGTACTCACCAGCAGATGCTGTGATCTTTAGCCTGCAGTAGGCATACTGTCCATTATGATAAATGTACAGTATAATATACATAATTGTCATCACCTTTTCTGTCTTAACACTTGCGATGGAGGTGGGGTAGGAGATTAATGGGTATCATGTTACTGACCTGACCTGATGCAATGTCATTTCACCCATTGTATACAGTATAAGCTCTTTTCCCATTTGAGGTGGGGTGGGGATTAGTGAGTCTCATAACATGAAGATGTCTTGAATAAAGATAAAAGCTAAGGTGCTCCAGTGATTCCCTTTTACTACATATGGTACTTTCACACTTACTGAATGTACAGTACAGTATATATAACTGTACTGTAATCACTTTTTACATCTTAACACTGCTTTAACACTGTGTTCTTGGGTGATTGTGTCCTGGTACAGTAATGTACTGTAATGCACAACACAAATTGTACACAAAAACAGTAGCTAGTGAGGGAACAGCCTTGTACAGGGAATATCAGTTATCCAGTATCCGGGTAACCGGTCGATTCAACTAACAGACACTGCAATGAAATACTAATTAAAAATAAATTCCTCTAAACTCAGCTAGTATTGTAAATTTGAATACCGCACAATGCAATACAACACAATTCAGACAGTCAACTCACAGATGGGAGCCGCACAATGCAATGCAACACAATTCAGACAGTCAACCAGTTGACTCACATATGTGTGGCTCCCACGCTGGCTGTGTGTATACCATGACATCACATTGGGAGGGGGCGCAGCCATGCAGTTATAGCCCACGGCCTCCACACATATTCACTTCCCACACATACACATCTATGCTCTTCACTTTTCTTATTTTATATGCTCTTCACTTTTCTTATTTTATAGTTTTATATTATATTTTCTCTATTTCTAAGCCACATTAGAGTATTTTAATGATTTTTCCATAACTTTTATAGATTCATTACAAGTAACAATATACGAAGAAGCTGGGCTGGTGAGTCAGCAACGTAGTTATAGCCAAGGCCTAGGCTATAACCACGTCCACACACATTCATTTCTCACACATGCACACCTATGCTCTTCATTTTCCTTATTTTATATTTTTATATTATATTTTCTTTATTTCTAAGCCACATCATTTATATAGAATGGAGTAAGTGTTAAAGAAATCCATTTTTCTGAAACATGAATTTTCGAGGTTAGCTTGTAGCACTGTGCATTGTAGGATTTATTGCGGGATTGGCATCTCTCAATCCCAGTAGGTGCCAGATAACTGGGATTCTACTGTACAATGACAGCAGAATATGAACTAAGCATGCAAGTTACCCAATCAGCTGGCCCAGCCATGCACCTGGCATGTGAGAAGTGTGTCGGAGCATGATGCAATTTCTTGAAACTCTTAGAAAATTTATTTCCAGGCCCATAAAGGAGAGATTCTCGGAATTTTCTCCAAAGTTTTCCGAAAAATGTCCCCGTTTTTTATCCTCAGAACTTTTCCAGCTCAATTTCAATCCCAACTATTGGAGAGTTACAGGGACTACGTATTCTGGCAAACAGGGAGATTACTCTACAGTACCCTGTACAGTATACAGTCAAGCGCCAGTTAACGTCCGACCGAACAACGTCCGATCGCATATACGTCCGTGGCCCCCACCCCCAAAAAAAAAAAAAAGTGACGCCTGCTAGACCACCACTCCACGACCCCCTGACGGAGACACGATGATCCTCCCCATACTGGTCAGATATTATGTGTTAAAGGAATATGCTTCCTTACTTAGGCTTTTTTTAAGCATTTGCCTACAGGTGAAATGTTAACCTACATCTATTGAGGATAAAATCTTTCACCTACAAATTGACAATAACACATTTGCTGTAATCAGACATATCTAGTTGCCTCAACAATTGCAACCCCAGTTGCAATTGGGGTTGCAATTTCAAATTCTGTGGCATTACTAAAAATAGTAAAGTTTCTGGTGCTCTCTAAGATTAAGAGAGAAAACAGAAGATTCAGGTGTCCTGATGT